TAAAGCAGACTTCTGCATTATGCCTATGATGGAGTTAGAGGAACAAGCAGGTCCATCTGCTGCCATTCAAGCTGGCCCCAAAGCAGAAGGGACAGGCTAATCCAGCTGGCTTGTTCAGAGGCCGCATTTAGTGAAACATTATTTTTGTTCATAGAATAAATGTGTTTTCATAAAACTTTTCATTGTCTATGTTAACTGTTATGTTGGTTGATCTCAACAAATAATCCTAAAGGACTATAATTTGTGTTCACTTCAATGACTTCTGAACCTATCACTTGGCCCAAAATCAGGATGTTGTTTTAATTCCAACTAAAACGGACTCATTTCAATTCTATAAAGTAGTAGCATTTTCAATACAAATAGCAAAACTTAGCCATAGTACTCCTGCAAGATGGCAATGAATAGTACAAATACTAATTATACATGTCCAGGGCCTGAGTGGGATAAGTACTAAAACTTTTTAAATTTGGTTCATTCTGCTTGCTTAGATATGGTTTTGACACAACGCAAGGACAATATGTTTAATCAAGTAGAACCCAGAACTAGCTAATGAAATGGCATGACGAGAGCTTAGAGTCCGGTAACCATTCCAAAATTACAAAAACCTGCTCTCAAGCTTCAATTGGATCCCTTTATCCATCTTTATGTATATTCCCAACTTCCCTACTGTTCTCCTTTGCCTCATCACGCCGTGGAGGTATAAACGTGGCTTCTTGAAGACTAAGCCTCCAAAACACAAGCTCTGGCAGGACCTATCCCAGGTGGCAAGGCTTGGGACATGGGTCAGCAATCAGTGGATGCCTGTGCTGGAGGACTCCACTGGCCAAACTGACCAGAGGGCTGAGCAAAAACTAAAGTATTTTCAAAGTCACAGCAGCTCTGGTACCGTCTCCACTGAGGCATGGGAGAGGCTGTGATATGCACTGGCATGAGAAACACCCACACCTGTAACACCAAGTCTTGAAGTATGGGAGGCCTACACTAATAAGGTGCAGAAAATAGATGCAAACAGGAAACAAAACCTGGAAATCAGGGACTGCTCCCCCATTCGATGGATAGAAAATACTCTTAACTATGTCGACTTAGGGACAGAACCCATCATTGTGGGCAATACAGGTAAGGTCACCACTTAAAATTTTTGCAAGCAAAGAATGGGGGCAATGTGATCCTTAAAAAAAAGTAGATTAAAAAACACACAGGACTGTGTATTTAAAAAAGGTAACACTTTAAAAATGAATTTCATAAAAAGTGATCACAGCAATGGATCAGTCACTCAGTCTAGGACAAAGACTTAGGAAGCAATTTACCTTTCCAGTCTGTCCTAAAGTCAATAGTTTAAATTTATCACTCCAAAAAATGTGGGGAAATGGTTCTGAATACATACAGCAGAATAAAGGATAATGTCAAGGAGTCTCCACAAATACCATTTCATTCAGTTAGGGGTGTGTGGAGTGCTGGCCTTGGCTCATGGCGGTGGCTATGATTGGGAGGTGAATCACCATCCAAGCAGATAATCTAGAAGGTTGCTCATTTTTAGCTTGGGAATGATGCATTAGATGACTTTTCAAAGTCGATTTACCTTCCTAATAATTATACTTTGCTCAGACTAATGTTAAAATTAGCCACTTTTATGGTGTTCTTTTATGGTAACTTGGATGAGCTGTGGGCAACAGTGGGAAACCTGCCCAGAATTATAAATTTAAAAGAGGGTTTCCTGTTGGTTTTGCTTACTTTGCTAGGTAAATCCTGTTTGAGGTTTTATCTGGTACAAAATTATAAAGGAAGCTAACCTTAAATTAATTGCCTATATCATGTGTTTTTTTATGAGCTATTCAGATTACTATGAACTAAAAGAAATCACACCATGCTCGCCTAAATCACATGTCAAACAGCCCCACCCCTCTGCAACCGAGAGGGCAGCTTTCTAAAAGAATCAGAAGACCATCAATGCCTGCCACATACCATTTCAAAAAGACTTCCATGAGACATCAACCAAAGTCCGAGAATTCAGGCAGGAACTTAAGTTTACTGCGTAAAACCAAGAGAACTTTGAGAACAAAATAGATAGGTTTGATTCAAATATTAGAGACAGAGTATGGAAAAGAGGGAGAATAATAGATAAAAAGCAAGAAAACATTACCAGTTGTATCGACATGCATAGTATACCACAGTGATATTCACATAATAGGCACTTGTTTGTTAGATTGAAACTAAGATTCACACACAAATTAACAAATGATCACAGTGTAATGGATGAATATGCTTCATATCAAAAACCCTGAGTTTGAATCCTGGCCTTGTCATTCATTTACTAACTTCAGAATCTTGGGTACCTCACTACTACTTCTAAGCCTCAATTTCTTCATCTGAAAAATGGTGACACTCCTTAAAATATATACTTCAAAGGGTTACTGTGAAAATCAACTAACAACGTACATAAAATGTTAAGCAATAAAGGAATGGCAGTGATAAACAGATGAAGAAGGTACATATTAGCTCTGTTCAGTAAAATTACTTATTAAAATTGGGGATATTTTTTCTAGTCTTTTCAGTGACACTCAGTAATTCTCAGAGTCAGACTGGCTACCTTGGGGGAGAGAAGAAAGAAAATAATGGCAAGACTAACTTCCATCCTTTATCCATCTAACATAGCAGTCTTACTCAAGTCAGTGGCACCAAGGCACCCATTATGCAAAGGGCTGATTAAGGATTAGTTCAATCAACCCATTTTCCTGATAAACCTTACTATTCTAGGAACTGCTCTGTATTTTCAGCCTTTGCTATCTCTTAAACAACAAGTTCCATAAACTTATCTGCTGCATAAACATTTGTCAGCCCCAAATTTACCTCTTTAAAACCTACTAGCTCACATTTAAAGGTAAAGTATGGGGACAGAGACAGATCTGCCTACAGTGAACTAGAGATGACTGAAAAGAGAGTGGCTAGGTCCCCCTGAAATTCATTACTGTGGTAGAGCTGCTTATTCCAAGTGGTCCCACCAGCGTTCTCTCATTGAGACTCCCAGAAAACCAGGAAATCAGTAGGGAGTCCTCCCAAAATGGACTCTGAATCAGGACGAGGGTCATCAGTGCCTTTGCCTGACTCGGTGCTCAATCGCCACACCTTCTTCAGACTGAAAATTTCCACTTCTGTAAAATAGAGACTAGCTAGACCCTAAAATTCTTTTGAACTGTTGATTCTAAGTCAGACCTTCCCTTTCAATACTAGCAGGAAAGTTAAAGGGGTAAAGAGCATTAGGAAAGATATTAAGGAAATATTCCTTCCCCCCTCAAAAATGAACACACTAACCAGAGTCACAAGATAAAATTGTTGCCCCCAAGCCAAATGTTCTAAAAGGACCCCCTTCTCTTTATTAAATACAAAATAAATGGATCTTCTCTTGGTGACCCAAGGAATATTTGAGGAAGGTAGGGTAGGGCAATTTCATCTTGAAACCATTAGTAATGTGCTCACGGTGGGAAGATGGTGTAGACACATCTTAAGTCAAACCTTTCTTCTTAAAACCCAAGTTCTAGTACTGATTCTGCTTGACTTTGAGTATGGGGCTTATAAAAAATAAATACATGAAAAATGGTGACTCTGGAAGTACAGGTGTGTGTTGGGGGAGGGTGGAGTAGGGTGTCAAAGCTTGGTAGAAAAGAAAATAAAAAGGTAAGAGAATCAAGTATGACAGATTTAAAGAAGTTAGTTAACTGTGAAGATTAGGGTCAATGTCACAGGCCAGAGAGAAAAGACAGAGACACCAGCCTGGGAGGGTATCAATAGATTTGATTAGCCAAAAGCCTACCGAGTGAGGAGTAGGGAGGAGGGCCCACCTGCTGACAACAGGAAACACCTGTTACTACTCTAACTGATTAGTGCTTGAAATTTCTTCAAGGCTGGCTACAGTTAACTATATTTGTGACACACCTCAACTATATACAGTTTTGACATCCAAGTTTCATCACACAGTAGTAAAGTTAGCTGTATAACAGAACCATCTGTGTTCGTGAAGTCCTCAAACGGACACAGGTAAGCAAAAAAAAGGTACCAGTAGGAAAAGCAGGGGAAAAGGGAAAAGGGAAAGGTCAGGGCCCGGTTAGGTAAACAAAGCCTTTCAAAGATAAGCCAGGCTTTATTCACCCCTCAGGTGGTAGCTTTATTCACCCTCAGGTGATAGCACTGAAATAAGAATCCTAGATCACTGAGAGGATAAGGTTGGGTAGCACATACAAGACATCTGTTTAGCTACAAATCAAATGCTCTGTACCAAGTCCAAAGCTAACAAAAATTGAACAATGAATGAGCATTACTTAGAAACTGTTCATTCACCCACACATAGAAAAGTTCTCACTGGCAAAATGACAGGGAGACCATAGTCCACAGACTCACATAATGAAATGACTTGTAAAATCTGACTTCCTTAGACTTGGCAAAAGGATGCTCCTGTTCAAACTTCTAGAAACAACCTAAACCAAAATGACCATTTCCGAAATTTGCACAACTTTTGGCTTTATTTAATCCTTGTAAAACCAATTTAGCAAAGGGGTATTCAGATCCTTTAAACAAACAAAAAAGGAATACGTTTAGTAAAGAGGACTAGGAACTGAATGCACTTTCATTTTCTTTATTTCAATGACAGTAAAGACGTTTGGAATTTCTATGCATAAATAAGTAGTTAAACCAACATCCATGTTTCACACATGCATATCTGAAAAAGAAAGTGCTTCAACTGAGAATGACTCAATTCTCCCATAGAACGTGAGCTCTGAGGGTGAGGGAGTTTCACTGTTTGTAACCCCAGAGCCACACAGGCACCTAATAAACGTTATGTTGAAAACAGCATGACTGAACTTCGCTGGTAAAAGCTTTGAGAATGGGGAGAGACGCTAAGAAACCAGAGAGTATCAGCAGGTGGTCTCTATGGTCAATGTAATTCTTCTAACTATTTGAGATTTACGAGGAGGACAGGAAATGGCTCTCTCACATCCACCACTTACCAACATTCGGGGCTCTCATATAGTCTGCCGGTAGCTCTGGAGGTCGGCCTCGGTGGAGAGCTGCAAAAGCAGATCCATTCCATGGCGCGCTCCTGCAGTCTGCAAAAAGACCAACATTTAGTCCAGGGCTTTGTCGTCTGTATTTTCACTACAAGACTTCAACGACAAATAACTTTTGGCTCTTTAAAACGAAAATATTTGTCTCTTTTTGCATCCCCAGTACCTGGTACATAAAAGGTACTTAAATGTTTACTGACTGAAATCTAAAACTCTAAGTATATTTGTATAGGTTAAGCATCTAAATTTCTGAAAACCGGCTAAGTTCATCACGCTGGGATTAGAAATAAACACTAGTCAGTCACAGGCAAAGCAGAGGCAGAGCAGTAGCATTCAGCATGACAGGTCTGAAGCTTTGCTACTGGAGGTGAGGCCAGCTTCTGCCATGAGACAAGTCCCTCCCCAGAGTTAGCAGATTTCATTCTTCTGTCTGCAAAGATGACATGCTCCTTACTTTCCCCTGATCAAAACTAGTTGTACTAGTGAACTAACCAAAGCACTTCCCTTCATTATCCAGGACCCAAGAATGTCAACAAGATATGTCATTTATCTCCCAAGTCTTAATCACCTTTCACATTCTCCCCCTCTTCCATCCACCAGTGTCCCCCCTTCTCCTCCCCAGAGGCTAGGCAAGCCTTACCCTTTGCTGCTCTCAACAAAGACTGTCGGCCAACGCCTAGCAAAGTCTGTACCCCACGAACACTCTGAGGTATCTCTCTGTCCAAGAGGGGACCAATCCGCTCACAGATTTTAAGGAGGTAGTCTGGAGGAATGTGTGCATTGGCCGTCACCTAAAACAGCAACAATACAACATACAAAAATGTTTGGAAGTTAGCAAAGAAAAAAGCTGTAAAATATTGTATTTAAATGCTTTCTAATGAGGAAAAGAACTGTTTTTAAGTACTTATTTACAGACAATGAGTAAAATGACAAAATTTGGCTGAAGCTAACAATTTAGGAATTCTAAATGAACATATTTGAACAACACTGATCCAACTGATTTTCAAATGTCTTTTAAATCACCTGCCCGATTGTTAACTGTACACATTTTATTTAGATGCATCAACCCATCTCTACCTAAGAAAATCTTTGTAGCCCCACAGCTTAGCAGTGTCTGGCTTGTACTAAATGACTGTTGATTTTACTTGAGCAAGGAACCACAGGCACAACTTTTCCAAGTAGTAATGGACATGGACTTCAGTACAGCAAGAAAAGCATTCTTTCTTGGAGAATCCAGCCTTCATCTTTATTCAAGAATTGTGAGGGATACAAACCCCACAATCCCTCTGCCCAGGGCTACTGACAGTGTGATCAAGTACATGGAATTAGAACACTTCGATTCAAATCTTGGGGGCTCTGCCACCTCTCAGCTAGATGACCTTGGTCAAGTCCCTTTACCTCACTGGGCCACCACTTCCTCATAAAGAAGGAGGTCGGACTGAGTAGTATTTAAGCATGGTTCCTTCTAGCTATCAATTCGAGTCCCTCTTAGTTTTGTTCTGCTATAAACTGACATCTGGTTTCCCCTGTGAATCCAAATCACAATGGGGGAAGGGAAGAAAATCAGCCAAACACTGGTTAAAAAGTTATTGCTTAAAAGATATTTGAAGGGATTAGTCATTTAGCCCTACTGGTTTCTCTCTGGAAAACTACAGTTCACAGACCCAGGTAAGTGCTTTGAGATCTGCAAGTGAAAAATCAGTATGTATAAGCAAAGGAGAGGACATGCCAACTTAACAAGGTTTCATTTTTGTTCCACGGTATACCCACCTATATATAAGAACAGCCTTTCTAATAAGGAATTTTGGAGATATAACAAAAGTAGACACTCCATCAACACATTACCTCTTTCATTTGAGACTCCTAACTTCACAAATGATTCCCATTTAGGAGAAACTGAGGCTCTCAAAGGTGATTTGTCACAGCTAACAAGCTGAGGAGCCCACACTTGCCCAGTTCTAAGGACTCCCATCTAGTAACTGAATTTGATGCTGATATGGAACCATATTGGAACTATCATATGGAACTATCTATTCTGACCCTCCTGATTTTAGTAAACAACAGACTGAGAAGATCAAAGGTCTTCCTCAAAGTCACTTCTCTCAGAGCAGGGATTTGAACCCAGGGCTTCTGGCTCCAAATCTATTACCCTGTCCAAGAAATCTGGCTGCCTCTCCAACCATTAAACTAGTCTTTATATTCTTTCAGCTTTCTAAAACAGTGACTTTTAAGATAGTTGGTCATCTCAAAGTAATTCTAGATTTTTAAGCTTCCTTGAAAATTGTTGGCTGACCTAGAAAACAAAAGCAACAAAGTATTTCCTAGATGCCTAACCCATCAGAATTATCGAAGGTCCACTGGAAGGCAAGCAACTTGGGGGGGGGGGGGGGATTGGAGCACTCGCCACACAAATCATTTACTTAGGTGATCCCTCAAATGATGTTCCATTTGGAATTGTCAGGCAGTTGGGACTTCAACAGCCATACAGACTCTTTTTTTTTTTTAACTTGACCACCAGGCTGCAGATTAACAGTATGAAGTGAGGGATTTCAAGAAACAGTATAAGATGGTCCTTAAAAGCCTTCAGTAACACTAAGGGCATCTCAAGATAAGAGTGAAACTCCTGGACACACCCCATTAAAAGGGAGGCCTTGGCAAAAGTTCCTACAAAGAGGGGGAAAAAAAAAATCAAACTACAAGAACATAAACAGCTAAGCTACTATTTGGGGGCAGGGCAGAACATATAAAAGGTTAAACTAACCAAATTTTAATTTTTCATACTGATTTAAGAAAAAAACTTGAGAAACTTTTCTACTGAAAAAACAAAAAGCAGAATATTTAAACAAGATTAATATCCATATCCTAGCCAATTACATAGAGGAGATGAGGAAAACACAAGATGAAGCAAAGGCAGTCACAGAGAAATGCACAGGGAAGAGGGAAAAATCAGCTCTGAAGTGGTGGTCACTACTGTTACTTGGAGCAATAAATAATCTAATTGCTGACCTCTGAAATGCCAAAAGCCATCTTCATTGGCTTTTCAACTGTTCTTTATTCTTGAATTTAAAGAAACTTTTCTAGGGATGGGAAAATAAAAGAAACCCAGAGGAAGGAGGAAGATGATTAAACATTTGGTGAACCAACATTATCCAGAGAGCTAATGAAATCGAGCCTGCCACCTCTGTCCTAAAAGGGTCACAAGAGAGGAACCATAGACCAACATACAATCACTTAATAGTACTTACAGAGCTAAGAAAATCAAATCAATACTGCCTGTAGATAAATGCTACTGGGAAGGGATGAGGATAGGTAGGTACCAGGGTCTAGTGGAAATGGTACTGGATTTGCAACCAGAGGATTGAGGTTCTCCTGTTTCAGCCACTCTTTATGTTTCCAGGCCTGTGTAGATTAAGGGGGGTTGGATTCGAACTCCCCCCCCCTTCCAAAACTACATTTAAGATACTAACTGGAAAGACTAAGTTATATGAGTATTATAAATACTCAAATCAACTACAAAAGGGCTATGAAGGAGAGGGCTTTCCACCTCCAGAGAAAGAACTGATAAATAGAGATATGTATAGTATCATTTTACAAATGTCTGTGCGTCAAATGATGGCCTTCTCCACCTCCCTTCTCGGAAGGGAGGGAAGGTAGGAGATAAATTCAGAACTCAAAATGTAACAATGAAAAATAAAGATACTAACGCTCTAACAAACACGTCACTGAAGGAGATCCAGAGACTTAGTTCCCAACCTGAAGGACCTTGCAAATGGAGACAACATGTCAAAAGAGAATATTTATTCTTTAGTCCTTGGATGTGACAAACAGGCTAATATCAGGCCTTGTTCCTTTTCTGTGAGCCCAACTAGCCCACTGGCTCAACCCACTATGATTTTAAACTCCTGGTCAGCAATTTGAGGTTAACATGACTTCGAAATATCAGGGATCTGTGACCACGTAGGCAGGGCAAGAGAGACTTGAGCTGAAATCCTGGCCCTAAAATTCAGTAGTCACATACCTCAGGGCAAATCATTTCATTCTGCAGAGCTTCAATTTCCAGTCAGTAAAATGGGGAGAATTCTTACAAAACCTAAATCGCAGGATTGCTGTGAGCCTTTCAAGTTCTTTGAAAGTACTAAGGCGCTTAGCTATCATTACCAAAGATCCTCTTGAGTCCTTGTGCCCAACTCCCCCCCAACTCCCCAAAAGAGGCATCTTCTAAGAGCTAACCATTTTAATACACCTCTGACAAACTTAGTTTACACTAGTACTGAGATGACAGAATCAGGCCTCAGGTTGTGGTGGTCTGCTGGCATTTGGACCCCTAGGCTACAACACCCCTTGAGATGAGAGCATTTTGGATTAGAAAGGAATCCTAAAAGTCATCTATTTTAAAAAAAAAAAAAACAAAAAACAACTCATTATCTCAGAGATGAAGAAGGCTCAGAGAGGAGAAGTAACTTCCTCAAGGTCAACCAGGTAACCTTGAAATAGGATTCAAAGCTACATCTTGTGTTCCCAAAAATGCAGGGCAGGGCTCTTTCCACACCATTATATTGCATCCCCACAAGGCAGAGTGGGACATTTGGGAAGGAGACAAGCAATATTGGGAAGTGAGAAATGAGTGGTGAGGAGCAGCATCTCAGAAGAGATCAGTATGCTGGAACCCTAAGGAAATTGGATTCCACTACCTACACCTACAACCATAAAGACTGAACTTTTATCATGAAAACGAGGGGTATGGGGTTGGGGGTTTTTTTGGTCTTCTTTTTTCGAAGACTAAGAATAGCTCTCAGAAAGCCATTGCACTGAATCTTCGGAGTCAAGTTTAATCCTAAATCAGATTCAAACTTAAGCGCTCCGATATTTAATATCTGTGTGCCCTTGGAAGAGTCACCTTTCTGGGCCTCAGTTTATTCAGGTGTCCAATGATGGGGTTGGACTAGATGACCTAAGGAGCCCTGCTCTAACCCTATAACCCTATGACTGTACAAGCCAAAGAACTTTAAAAACAGGTTAGTCATTGGCTAGAGATATCATACATCCAAAAATCTTCAAGAATAGACCTAACAAAGCTAAAGGCAAAGCATAGAAAGCATGAGCTTACATGTGAATCCAGCAAGTTAGTAAGAAGGAATATGAGCCGTCCAGCACTGCACTGCATGTCACAATACTTACAGGCCTCAGCCTGGGCCTTACCACTCCACCCAATGGTTATTGTTCTGTGCCACTCATGGCCAAACTGACAGCTCATGCAGTTCTTTTTTGTTCTAACGTAACGCAGTCCCCAGAAAAGACACAGTTCTCCTCTCACTACAACTGTGTGTACACATGGTAGGTAAGAAAACACACGGCTTAAAGTGTTTCTACATTTACAGATAAAACTACCCCACTCTTGACTATCACTTGCCTGTTCTACTAAACCACGTGAGAACAATTGAAGCTAAACAGAGTAAAAAAAAAAAGTGTTTACAAGCACACAGTCTAGAATTCAGATGTGTTAGTAACTACATGGTAGTCTCTGCAAGTTTATTCTAAGGTTGCATGAACAAATAGCCTGAGGGCAGGGAAGAAATAAACCTCTGTAACCCTGCTATGGTTCCTTACTGATATAAAATTATACCCATGTAGTTACCTCCATCCAAATAATGAAAATCAATTGGTGCTGAATAAATACAAATATTCTAACATACCACAGCAAATCTGCCATTTCACCATCCAAACTCCTTGTGTTATTCCCTTGAAACTGCTTTAAGATTTAAAATCTCTAAGATTTTTAAAAACACTATTTTTAAACATGTATTCTCTAATCTGACTTTTTTTTTTAAATAAAAATACCTTTTCAAAATTATTTTTGTTATTCTTATTAGTGGGCAACTACCTTTGCTTTCAGTGTTCCCAAATAAAATCTATGGCTTTTGTCTGGAACCATTTTAAATTATCTACCTGATGATAATTATCAAAAAAAAAAAACAAAACCACTTTACTTTCATTTATGTTCTCAACAATAGTAAGAAGCAGCAAGTACAGAAATAAAAATGCCTGCATCAAACTTTCGAAATAAAATTATCACCACTATTTCAAAAACATTTTTCTAACAGGTAGAAGAGCCCCTTTCTCAAAACCCATGATTCTGAACACAAAGTGCACTTACTTTGAAAGTCACATTCAAAAATCTCATTACTTGTCTGAGCCCCAATATCCCATGGTATAGACTTATTTTTTAAATAGATAGTTCAGACCCAGATATGTCTATTCTTGCATGATCTTGGCTTTTCACAAAAACCATAACTACCCTCCCTGTGCTGCAAATTGGGAGTAAAACACTAAGTTAGCTGTTTATTACAAATCCACAAACCTAAAAAGCAAGGGGATGCAGCAAAGGAAAGGAAGAGGCCCAAGATATCCAAATTTGTTCTCTTGGCACCCTTATACAGTGTAAAGACTGCTATATTTGAAGTCAATTCAAGGTCAGAAAGCTGAGGTTTGAGTTCTGTGAAACCTTGGGCAGGTCAGTTAAAGTATCGTGGACTTTAGTTCCCATATCTCTAAAATGAGAGGGGGTTGGTGACCTCTAAAGGTTTCCTTCCAGCTCTTAATCTATGATCCTATTATGTTTCTTTTAGTAGTCTCATAATTGAATCACAGTAAATAGTTAAAATGAGAACAATAAAAGTATGAGGTCTGTCACATGCTGTTACAAACAAAACAGTGTCACAAATTTTACGAAATATTGAGTTTTTGGCGAAAATTCCTTGACCTCTTCTTTATACGTATGTGTTTTATTCTTGGGTTTTGTTTTTTTCCTGAGTTTCTCCTCCTCCCAATATATCTTTGTTTTAATAAATTAATGCATGTGACATACTCCAGATAAAATAAAACTGTTCTATTGTCTGATGTGTCCTAGTACTATGTCACTCAAATCATTACTCAAATATGAAGTATTAGTCAGCAATCTAGTTGACTAACACTGCAGGGCCTTCTGGGTCAGGGAAGTTTACTCCTGTTTAAATTCTGTCCCAGCCCTGCCCTACCTTATTCTTCTCTTTGAGGACATAAGGGGAATCAGCTTCAAAAAATGTTATGGTTAACAAAAAGCGTCCTAAACCACTAGTTCAAAATGAACTATTTTAGGGAAATGTCCAATACTAATGGGGACAATCAGAAACACTTTCAACAAAAAGTGTTTTCAACACATATTGCCATGAAAAATCACGTACCTTCAAAGCTACCACTACAATAATCTAAATAATTTAAAAGCAAGGTACGAAAATGAAAATTTAAAAATATTAAATTACTCCCAGGCAATTTTTCTTTGTTAATTTCTAGCAGGAGACAAAAAGCAGCAGAACAAAAAGGTCAGACCAAAAATTTAGTAACTCTGAACTAGGAATGTACTAATTGTTTCTAATCATTCAATTTGAATAACTTTCACTTCAGAGTTTTAAATTTTGTATTTTAATGACTTAAAAAGTAGAACTTGCCAATCAAAAAGAACACTACTATTTCTTACCTCCAAAGTTACAAGGAAAAAAAATATCTGACAAAATATTTGGAAATGGTTGATACAGCTTCATCATAACTTGATAGAGAATATGCTCACTATCAATTTTTTAGCTAAGGACAACTAATTTTGGCAACTACAGAACTTTTCATCTTTTTCTTCCTACTACAGACTTAACCTAACCTCCCCTTGAGATTTTGTTTCTGATCATCTTTTTCTCCTCTAATTTATATCTTATTTAAAGATTACTTTGATTTTTGAAACCTCAAAACACACCACCATCTCACTTGCCCTCCCTACGTACTATGCCAAGAGTCTGTTAAACCAAGAGAAGGAAATTGAAATCTCTTCTTCTTGTCCACTGGGAATAGAAGAAAACAAATAGGTACATGTACAGTGGAAGACAGATTGTGAGAAAGAACATGAAGAGTCTAATATATTTGGACCTTTGTCAAAATCTAAATTATATTTACCATATACCATCTCCTTAGGAATCTAAATTCATGTTTTGACAAGTCACAAAAAAGCTAACGTACACATTACCATTTTGATGAGAAATAGAGTCACGCAAGCATTATTTATAGATGATCTGAGTAGTTCCTTTTTCTAACAGATTTAACACATAGAAAACCATAGATTGTGGTCAGTCCTCTAAAAGGAGGAATTTTCGGGAATTGCTCTTCTGTCCTAGTATTTTTAATTGTGTCGTTGTAGTCCCCCTCCTCTCCTCACTGTCCCCCCCCCCTACTCGACCCCCCCCCCCCCCCACCTTCGTCCAAAGGGACTAAAGGCTGGCCTCAGTTCCCGTATTTCAAGCCAGGGCCAACCAGGAGACAGTTTTCTTCCAATGATCCGAAACTGGAGCATGTTAGCGGCGCTGCCATTGGCCAGCGTCAGTCCTTGGTACGTGCCCCGAGATAACCCTCTGGTTTTTCTCCTTCTCCCCCCCCCACAAAGGGCCTTCCCCAATGTTGGTAGCACACTCACGACACCGAAGCTGTCTTCCCCCATAACCAGCCGAGTTCTCACGCAGAGCGCTGGTGTCGTGGGTGGGCGGGCGGGGGGGGGGGGGGGGGGGGGGGGGGGGGGGGGGAAGGAGACCCGGCAGGGGGAAAGGGGCAGCCCGAGGCTCGGGGTGGAGCAGAGGTCAGTCGGGGGCTGGAGCCCGGGCGCGCGGTGCCGTGCCACCCGGGGGCAGGTTCGGGGGACCCAGGGGGGCGCCCAGGAGGGCAAGCGAGAGTTGGGGTAAGTTAGAGGAGCAAACTTTACTTACCAGATCTTCGAAGCTTCTCTGATGCTCTCTCCCCTCCCAATCCAGGCGCCTCGGGATCAGCTAAGGGGCAGGAGGGAGAGAAAGGGGGGAGGGGGGGACAGGATCGGACGGGACAGACGCTCAGGGGGAGCCTGCGGCTGCGGCCGCGCTCCTCTGCCCGTCCCCGGCCCCGCTACCTCCCGCCCCTCATTCTGGAGTCGGTGACCGGCCGGCTCCCCGCTCGGGGACGGCGCTTCGGCAGGACGGTCCCCAGCCCCGGCCGCCGCCGGCGGGGGCACGGGCTCCGGAGTTCCTGGGGCTTCACTTTAGTGACAAGGCTGCCAGCGGGGGGTCGAGAGCCCGGCCTCCCCCGCCCCGGTCCGGCCCGGCCCGCCCCGCCCCACCCGCTCTGGCCCAACCCGCTCCCGTCTCCCCCTCGCCCGGCTCCCCGCACCCGCCGCTACTCCCCTAGTCCCCCGCACCCCGGGGTTCCCCGCTCCACGCCGTACCTGATGCTCCTCCAGCTCCTCCACTAGCACCTGGAGCGAGAAACACAGAAACGCGGCGCGTGAGGGAGCGAAACGCGGCGGCGGCGCTTTACCTTACCTTACCGTACCAGACCGGACCGGACTGCACCGCACCGCACCGCACCGCACTGCCCGATGCCCCGCGCGGTGCAGAGTCCGCACCGCGTCGCGTCGCGCCGATCCCCCAGCCCGCCCCGGCCACTTCCCCGGACCCTTCGAGCGCTGGCGGCGACGCCACCCGCAACGCCTCTGGGGGGCCCAGGCCGGCAGCCCGTTCTCCCGTCGTCCCGCTGCCCCGGGCCGCCCGCGACCCTCAGCACCCCGCTGCGACCTTCGGCATCCCGCCACGACCCTCGGCACCCCAGAGTCAGCCAAGGGATCCGCGGCTCCTCACCTGAGCAGATTTATTGCATGGTCCGGACTGCAGGAACCTGGCAATCAGGTAATACAGTTCTGTAGAGGGGAGCAGGGGGAAAGGGGGAGGTGAGAGGAGAGAGAAGCGGTTTGAGAGCGGCGGACACCCCTAGCCCTTGCCGCCGCCCCCCGGCCCCGGAGCCCCCCGCTTGGCACGGCCAGGCTACCCACCGGCTTCGATCTGAGACGGGGCCGCTGCCTCAGCCGCCATCCTGTGACCAGGAGATTTGGGGGAGTTCGCTCTGAGGGGGGAGGGGGCGCCTCTATTGTGGCGAAGCCCCCATGACCCGGCCCCGGCGTCTCGCCGCTTCCGCCGCGTTCCGCGTCCCAGTTTCGGTCTCTCTCAGATTCATCGCATCACGTTTCGCCCCATAGATATTCTAGCCCGAGCGCTGAGGAGGCGGAGAAGGAAGGAGAGAGCAGAAGAGGGAGGAGCGGAGCGGTACGAAGAGGGCGGGGGAGGGAGGCGGGCGGGCGGGCGGGCGGGCGCGCGCGCGGAGTGGGAGGGAGGAGCAGGAAGGGAGGGGGATAGCTGCGGCTGTGGGAAGGGCGCCGCCGCAGTTCTTACAGTCGACCACAGGAGGCGCGCGAGCCCCCTCCAAGAGGCCTCTTTCCGCCGGACGAACTGCCTCCGCAATCCTTCCAGAAGAGAGGGGAATGAACAATGTTGATGCCGTGTCTATGGTATGCGACGCTCTGGCAACGACCCTTAGAACTCGATGGCGTCATTCCGCCTTTTGCTTTCCGGCTTAGTTACCTTCGCCGCGGCGTTGCTAAGTTCTTTCCGGTTACGGGCAATTCCCTCGCGCTTGCTCCTGGGGGAGAGGCGGGAGAGGCGGGAGAGGCGGGAGAGGCGGGGGAGGCGGGCGGTCACTGGCAGGCTTTGGCTTTTTCGCCCTCAGCGGGGGAGCCTCAAGACTTGACTATTCCTGCCCTGGGGGAAAGTAGGCCAGCCGCTACGGGTCAGGGTATCTGAACTTGACTCTTTAGTGTCTTTCTCCTGACCCTAAGCGACTTTTGTTCTTTTCCAAAGTTACCCGAAACACGTTAAGCAGTTTGATTCTCAACTCATCCTTCCCCCTCCCCAGTCCCGAAACGTGTGGGAAATTTTCCTTGGCTCGCTAGCCTGGAATTGCCTCCCTGGTTCTCCTTCACACGCCTGTCAGCCACGTATCCTTTGGCTTAGCTCGAATTCCCATGCCCTGAAAATTGCCATCCTGCCCACCAAACCGATTATCAATATTTTCAAGAGATCCTCCTGCCATCACACTTCACCCTGACGCGCCTTTGGCCTTATTGCAGTTATAGATTTCTCTTGATATTCTAACAGAAGAAAGCTAGTGGGCAATTAGTTTTTAGTTTTTAGTTGGTTTTTTTTTTTTTGTTAAGTAGGCTAGGACTATGCCTGTTAATATTTACCACGTGTTCTTAAATGCTGGACATCACTGTTAGACAATGTGGCTTGTCAGACAGTGTTTAAAATCATTTTTACAGGTGGAGCAAATTATGGACCCCTTTTCTTTCCCCTTCCCCCTCTCGATATTCATAAGCTTATGTCATTAACAATAGACACATGATTACCAGTTTTTTTTTAAATAACTTATTATTTAGATTCAAATGGCTCACCGTACATTCAGACCTTCTAAGATTGAGGTCCTATTTTCAGTAATTCTTTGGGGTCATTAACACCAAAAAAAATTTTTTTTTTTTTTTTTTGTAACACCAACCAAACATTTAATAGATAACCTTATTTTGGCTTTGGGGGTGGGATGTGGGTGTCCAGGAATAAAGACTTAAGTATGTGAATGTGTTTGACGACAATTATTATATGGTGACTAACTAGAAAAATATTAACCCTCCACATTTGGCTTATATGTAAAAACCCAACCTAATTATTTCAAGTAATATTCAATGAAGCAAAATTCCAGTTCACTGGAAAAAAATTGGAATCTCTTGTAATGGGCTGTGCGGCTTAACTGAGGTTTTGTTTGTTGTTTGAGTTTTTTTTTTTTTTGTTTGTTTTGTTTTTGAGAGGGAGAAATTTACTTTTCCCCTTCAGGGTGTGGCTCCCCTTGGGAAAAGTCAGTGTTAGAATATTATGTGTGCAAATGAATTGTAAATAGCTACCTAAAATTACAGTCTATTTGAGAACTAAAAGGTACTTCTATTTCTCCTACTTAATCTGGTTTGGTTTCAGTTTAAAGCTGGTAAACTCGAAGGGAATTCATAAACTATTAAATCAAAACATACTATAGAAAATGAAAACTGGGGAAAGGATTCATTATTTAGCAAATGTGCTTGGGAAAACTGGTTGGCTGGAAGGAAAGACATTTGGGCTCACACCTTCACCCTATATCCCAGTAAATTTTGCCTCAACAATAGACTTAAACATAAAAAGTGAACTATAAAACAACAAAAAAAATTACGTATTTATCTCAATTCTGAGAAATTACTTTTTTTTATTCCACAAATAAAGATAATTGTTAGGAACAAGCTGGAAGTGCTTGACCCTATTTAAAAAAAAAATCAAAGGGAGAATTACAGATTAGGGAAACTATTTATGGCAAATAGGAGCAATGAAAACTTGGCATCTAAAATATATGAGAAAAAACGGGCACTTTAATATGTTCTTGGCTGAGCTGAGAATTGGTCCAGCCATGCTGGAAAATAATTTGAAACTATGCCCAAAAAGTTACTAAACTGTACGTATCCTTTGACCCATCATTACCATGACTAGACCTATACCCCAAAGAGAACAAAGAAAGGAAAGGATCCATGTGGATGGACAAAAATATTTATAGCAGCTTTTAATGACAGCAAGGAAGGGGGTGCCTGAATTGGGAAATAGTTGACCAAACTATGATATGTAATGAAATGAAATGAATTATGAATGTAATGAAATATTATTGTGCTATAAGAAAAGGTAATGGGGACAGTTTCAGAGAAACCTGGGAAGGCTTGTTTATATTGATTCAAAGTAAAGTGAGTAGAACAAGGAGAACAATTTTTACCCAGGGACAACATAATAAAGCCAACAATTTTTGAAGACTTTAAAAACTCTGAACAGCGATGAATCCAGAGGACTTATAATGTTGAAACATGCTACCCGCAGTCCTGACAGAGGCATGATGGACTCAGGATTGAGACCTATATTTTTTTTGGACATGGCCAATTCAGGAAATTGGTTTTGCTTGACTATGCAAATTTGTTACAAGGGTTTTCTTTTTCTTTTTTTTTTCCCCAATGGGGGAGGGGCAGAAGAGAGAGAAGATAGATTTTGTTCATTGAAAAAAAAATTTAAATATATATGGAAATGTCAAAAATTCACAGATTATTTGCTACACTTAGATTTTATACAAGCCAGATTTGAGGGGAAAGTGCCCCCTAGATTTAGACATGACATGATTTAAGTAAAATGTTTCAAGAGAGAAGTTGAGACTAGCTTTCAGTTCCTGAACAAAAGCAATAGAATATGCTTTTTGCACATGGCTAACAGTAATACTAAGGGATCCCTGGGGCTTGCTATGTTATTCAGTCCTGCAAATAGACATTTACTTAAAATGAAAAATGATGTCCTTTAGGAATCAGGCTGTGGATGGCATCACTTTCTAGGCCAAAGTGAAGTTCTATAAATTGAGAGTTGAGCTCGGATAGTTGGGCTGTTCCCACCGCAGATGTGACATAGTGTTTCCAATCTCCTGATATTGAAGTAATGCTTCTCTCCTAGACACTGCAATGGAAATGGCCATGTGCAGTTGAATAGATGACAGCTTTTATGTGGTGAGCTGTTGAGGTAAAATGGGGTAACCACAAGAAGGTGCGTTTTAAGGATACATTGCCACATTCAAAATTGTGGCAGGGCTATAGGCTTCTGGGAAACAGTCAGGGCAAACACACCAGTCTGGCATGGAGTAATCAGGGTTCCTAGAGCCCCAGGCAGTTTAAAAGTCAATCATTTGAAGTTCAGTCTGCAAATAGTAGCAGTGACCACAAATCAAAGAACAGTCTTTATGTGGGCACAGTTTAGAAAGGACTATTCGTCTTTTAAGTCCCAAAGATTATAATCACGCCATTATTAGCTTCATCTTTGAATATTAAATAGATTATATATAAAGTTTGGGGGTTCCATTTGTTGATCTTTGTTGGCCTCCCTGCTGCTTTTTGTGGGAGATAAATGTTCACGTAAAAGCTTTGTTCTTGTTTAGGTTTAATCTAACGCTCAGATTGGCTGTTTGGAAAGAATGAATTTTATTACTGCTCCAAATCTTTATTCTTGAGAAAGTTCATTATAAACAAGAGCTTTTAGCCCTGGTATCGCTAGATTTTTAAAAAGCAAATTTCATAAACTAAAGGGAAAAGTGGACTCAGAGAATAGCCTAGCATGGATATCTTTGGGGAATTTGTATTTATAATGTCATGTCTTATAATTCTATAGCAAAAAAGAAAAAAAGTAGAATATCCATACTCATTGACCCAGAGATCCTACTGCTGGGCATATACTACAAGGAAGTCAATGACAAGAAAGATCCTACATATACCAAAATACTTACTAGTAGCAAATTTTGTAATAGGAAAGAGTTGGAAACAAAATAAATGTCCGTGATTGGGGACTAGTCCTTAAATGTGTGGTGTGAAAGTAGTGTGTTATTACTCTGCTATAAGAAATTTTGAATATGATGAATAGAGAAGCATGGGAAGACTTATAGAACATGATGCAAAGTAAAATAACCAGAACCAGAAAAACAATATGTACAATGAATAAATGGACCCCTGTGACACTCTGGACCCCTTCTCAGAATCATATTTTGAAAAGCACACAATAAAATGCACAGGATTACAAAGGAAACAAAGTATATTGAAATATAGATTTCAAAACATTTCTAAAAAATAAATCCATGAACCGGAGGTTAAGAATTCTTGGATTATAACAATGGAAATGGACATGATGACAACAAAACCATCTCAACTGAATGCTCTGAAATCATAATGATCAATCTTGGGCCTAAAGAAGAGCTACCGGTAGGCAGATCCCCTTTTCTTTATAGAGCTGTGGAGCTTTAGGAAGCAGACTCTGAATATGGCAAAACTTGTTTCATAGGTTGATTAGCTTTGCTAACCTTTTTTTTCCTCTTTTATTCTTTGTCATAAGGGATGGCGGTCTGGGAAGGGAGGGGCATATATTGGGAAATGTACGTGATGTGAAAACAATAGGTAGAAATAAAAATTTATCTTCAAAATAATTCCATATCCAAAATATTATCCTCACAACACAGGGCAATAAGTGCACAAGGACATTGCCACCCCTCAGGAAGCCAACCCTAGCAGGAATCCCCACCCCTAGGGTACTTATGTACTTCATGGTTACTGCTCAAACTCTTACTACTTCAAAATA